TTAGCCATAATTTTCTCACTTCAAAGTATAAAAAAGCTTATTGAGATATTTAAGGGAGTTTTGCCATATTTAATAGTCAGGAAAGGCATTAAGAACAACCTATTTTTAAATGAGTATTTTTATCTCTTAGAATTTGTTAGTTATTGGAGTATTGCTCTAGACAATCTAACAACAGATGTTGTATATATCGACTTTCAAAAAGCATTTAACTCTGTATCACGCCCTAAATTGTTAGCTAAACTAGCTTTATTTAATATAAGAGGTAATTTTAAAAATTGGATTGCTGCATTTCTTAACAATAGGAGTCAACAAGTTAAGGTTGGAATTTCATTATCAAACCCAACTCGCATCATTAGCGGAGTTCCTCAGGGTAGCGTGTTAGGCCCAGCATTATTTTTACTATATATCAGTTATATAACAGTTGTTGTCGACAATCTTGATTGCTCTTTAAAGCTTTATGTCGATGACATCAAGTTATATAGTTCATTTTGCAATACGGACCATAGCCATTACTTAGTTAACACTCTTGATAATCTAGAACTTTGGTCAGAAACATGGCAACTACCTATTTCTACCAGTAAGTCGGGCTTGGTTGGGAAGCGGGTGCGATCGCTCTTGATTACTGACCAAGGAAATAATATTTAGTTGCGAAAAACTGGCCAGATTTTTAAGTCGTTTTGAGAGCATTTCAAAAAGCAAATAAAATGCCTAAAAGATTTATTGGACCGATGAGAGACAATTACAAAAAAAAAAAATTTCGAAACATCACTCTTTTATAATTTTTTTATAAAATTAGGCGATGTTTTTTATATAAAGTAACATTTTATGATTGTTTAAAAATTTGTTCTTTATTTAACAAAGCGTGTAATATAATTTTTATTTATATAGTCATTTCTTATTTCCAGTGCTAGATTAAGGAGGGTTAGGGCAAAGGGGCATCAGATCTGGGCCCTGCAATGTTAGTGCCCCAAAAATATCAAGAAGACCTTTTTGTTTAGTCATTTTTACGCTGTGGTACATACAAAGGCATCAAAAATAAAAATGGCCCCTAGGCCCAAAAAGTCTAACAAGATTCTAATAAAACTAACGCAAGTTTTTTTTAAAATTAACTTTTTAATTTTTCTAAAAATTAAAAAGTTAATTTTTTTAATATCTATTTTATGCTTCGCGTAGTTTGAAAAGTTTAACATATTTGAAACAATTCTTCTTAGTAAGATAAACAAATGAAACAATTAAATCATTGAATTACTATAGAAATTAAATTAACTAGATAGAAATCAACTAAAAAGGTTAAAAATATTTTATGACGAGGAAACGAAACTGCTTCACAATATTGCTGACGATGTTTAGTGAGTGGGCTTTTTAATTTTAATTAGTATTTAAAGCAGAAAAAAGTAAAACGAGTTTTAAAGAATGGCAACTAAAGCGAAAATAATTGGAGTTAGTAAACCAATATTTAGAAACTTTTCTTTATATCTAATAATTTGCTATATATTTGTGTTCTGTTGTGACCTCAGGCATGGTGCTTGTTTATCCGCGAGTTACTTTGTATGCATTGTTTGTGTTTAGTAACCAGAAATTTCTTATATGTTTGTTACATAATTAGTTTTATCAACTTTGATGATTATTAATAACTTCATTGAAAATGGAATTGTCTTTGAAAGTCTTTGTTTACAAATTAAATCATAAAGATTGCTTTAAAAGGTAACATTGCAATAAAAAAAAAAAAAAAAGATAGACAAAATTACATTAACATAAAAAATACATACTTTTTAAATAAAAAATAAGAATATCTATAAAATCTATAATTTATAATAAACTTTCAAAATCTTGACAATTTAAAAAATATTTTATAAAGCTTTTTTTTTTTTTTTTTTTTTTTTTGTAAACAAATAATAATAGTTTAAAAGATTTACAGCTTTGCAGATGTGGCTCCAAGAATGAGCCATAGTATTGATAATATATTCATAAAATAATTTATGCTAGAAATCTCAAATCGTAAATATTGCTAAAACATTTTAACAGAAAACTCTAGAACTTTATTTCGCTTAGTCAGCATATTTTTTGAACCAATAGAATTAGTTTGTTCGTAAGTTAGGCAGGTTTTTAGTGTTTGTAAATATTCTTTTTATTCTTCCACGCCAAGATGTTTTGATAACGTTTAAGTTTATTATGTTTCCATGTATGTCCGTAAAACAAAAATTTTTTGTCACGTACATAAACTTAAATGTTCTCAAAAAGACTAAAAAATGTGGCCAGTTTTTCGCAACTAAATATTATTTCCGTGGTCAGTATTCAAGAGCGATTGCTTCTGCTTCCCAACCAAGCCTGGTAAGTGTTTTGTTCATAGGATTGTGCCTGCTTCATCGAGAAAATTTGTTAACTTTAACTATAAGTTAGGAGATTATATTTTAGCTTGATCTTCTATTCCAAAAGATCTCGGTGTAACTCTGGACTATAAGAAGCATATTTCAAATGTTGTACATACAGCTAATACCAGAGCATATCTTATTTTAAAATGCTTCAAGTCTCACGATCCTAGTATCTTATTAAAAGCCTTCAATACATATATTAGGCCTATATTAGATTATTGCTCCCCAGTTTGGTCGCCATATCATGTTGAACTAATAGTTTAAAGTAAAGTAAAGTAGTTTAAAGCATGATTTATCTATTTGCTACAAAATTCTGCATAACTTGGTCTTAATTGATAAATCTATGTTCTTTCTTTTTGACAACAAAAACAACACTCGAGGACATATTGTACATCAATTACTCTACACCAGGGGTCGAAATAAGTGCTGGACATCAAACGAAATAAGTGCTGGACATCAGATGAGGACAACAAACCATTGTTCATTTTTTCAGTAAAAATGAACAATGGTTGGTTGCCCTCATATAGCAGGTCTCAAAAATGGTCTGAGGGGCGGCGATGTCCGGCACTTATTTCGACCCCTGCTCTACACTATATTTGATTAAGGTTTTTAAAAAGTTCAAAAACTTAAAACCATTTCAAAATTAAACTTTTTAAAAGAAAAATTTAAATTAAAAAAAAAAGTTCTTTATCTAGGATTCAAACCCGCATTCTTGTAAGCCGCGCTTCGTAATTTTTACATTGTAACGTCCACAGCACTAAATTAAAGTATTAAAACATTTTTTGCATGCAAATGTTTTTATTATGTGCTCATTATTTGTAGGCGCATACAAATAATGAATTTTTTTTCAAACACATGAGATAATCTTAGTTACACAAAGTTTATATTTCAAGATTTTTTCAAGATATTTTTTGGAAAAAATATTCTGGATTTTAAAGTATGACCTTAATAATCACTGGTTTTATCCTTTAGTAAATTTTTTTGATGTAATTTTTTTTTTGATATAATTAAAGATATTTGTAAATTGTTTTGATTTAATTAAGTTCAAAATCATGACATGCTGGTTCCAGAGGAATCCCACATGGGACTTTTAATTTTGAGATAAAAACTTAATTAAAAAAACTATTTTTATTCAAAATTAAAAGTCCCACATGGGACTTTTAATTTTGAATAAAAATAGTTTTTTTAATAAAAGCATTCCATCCTTAAAACTATTTGGTTTTAAATTTAATTATTGCTTGTGTAGCTGACCATTGATTATTTAGTTGCTATGTAACCATGGAAATACCTTTCCTTAGATTTTAATTCTGTTATCATAACTTTTTATGCGGTCCAAGTATTTGAAAAATGAGGTTTATAAAAGACTCTTTATTTGTAAAAAGTTTTTTGCTTATATCTATTTTTGAAAAAAAAAAAGTTTATCTTTGTTTTTAATTATTTATATGAAATATAATTATGCTATTTGAACAGTTAATATATATAGTTCCCCTAAATTTAAAATTAATAAAGCTGTCAAAATAATAAGGTTTTGTTTTGTTAATCAAAATTCCAATTTACTTAGTTGTAAAAAGTTTATTAAAAATAATATATAAATGTTACATTTAATAAAATGTTACATTTATATCTTTATGGATTTTCAAATCAAACATATTTAGAAAAATCCAGCATGTGCTTTTTTGAATTAGCGTGCCCCTTTTCAATGTCTGATTTTTCAGACATTGAAAAATTTTCAATTTTCAAAATCTTTACACAATGGCCATTTAGCTAAAATAAATGTGACTTTTGAATACTGTGTTAAAGTACGATTATTTTCCTTTTTAAATTCATTAATAGTTTTTCAAATACCAGAAATGTTTAAAAAACATTCTTCAAAACAAAAAAAATTTCCTAATTTAGTAAACATCTATAATGTACAAAGTTAAGGATTTTTTAGCACAATAGTATGTTAAGGCTAGTGTTTATCCTATACGCCTTGCTGATCTGATTAATTATATCTTTTATATATATATATATATATATATATATATATATATATATATATATATATATATATATATATATATATATATATATATATATATATATATATATATATATATATATATATAGGGGGGGGGGGAGTACATTAATCTGATCAGCAAGATGTATAGGATAAACTCAAGCCTAAACTTACTAAAAAATAATCTAATTTTGTACATTATAGATGTTTAATAAATCAGGAATTTTTTTTTTTTTTTTTTTTTTTTTTTTTGAAGAATGTTTTTAAAACATTTCTTGTATTTGAAAAACTACCAAATGATAGATAGATAGAGAGACAGAGAGAGTACTTATTAATATTTTGTGCTTTAATTCTAAAATGCAAGTTTTAAATTTCCATTTTGAAGAATGAAAAATTTGTTGCACCAGCTTTAAACTTTCGATCAATAAAAAGACTCCTCTGCATGTTCTACCTAGATAGTCGTTGACTTATATATACCTTAAATAGTTATGTATGTATAGATCAACTAGTAACTCAGTTTTTACTACGATTCATTGTTCTACAAACATTTATGTTTATATTTTTGGATGTGCTTTCCTTAAATGAAATTACATTTTAATAATACAAGATACTTCTTTTCCTATTTTTAGACATTTACAGCATGGTGCAATTCACACTTAAGGAAAGTTAATGTTCAAATAGAAGAAATATCAAGAGACTTTAGTGATGGACTTAAACTTATGTTGCTTCTTGAAGTTATTGCAGGAGAAAGACTACCAAAACCTGAAAGAGGTCGTTTACGGTTTCATCAAATATCTAATGTTAACAAAGCCTTAGACTTTGTTGCTAGCAAAGGAGTAAAATTGGTTTCCATTGGTGCTGAAGGTAAATGAGAAAATAAAACCTCTTTTTATGATTAAAATATGAATAACTTTTCTTTGTTTGGAATGTTAACCTGAAAGAAGGTATATTTAGTTTTTGTATATTAGTATATATCTAATTTGGTATATGTTTCTGTTAGAAATTGTTGATGGTAACTTAAAAATGATTTTGGGTATGATTTGGACAATCATTTTGAGATTCGCCATTCAAGATATTCTTGTTGATGGTAAATTTTTTTTATTTACTAAAATTATTTTATTTTTCATAAACCTTTTGTATTAGTGATTAAAATATTTATTAGCTATTTAAATTATAGATGCAATATATCTATTTCAACTATATGTATATATGTATATCAGGCCTTGTGAAAAAGCGTTATGCATAATCTATTTCATGTACCTAAAAAGCAAATTTACATGTGGCAACGCTATTTACATCGAGCTAAAAACTTTTTTGTTTGGAAATATTGAAATAACTCTATAGATATTTTAAGTGGTATTTTAATGAAGTAATTAAAGTTTATTTTAATGGTATTATAATGAAGTAGTTGACATTTAAATACTGCACACTTGTTACAAAAGTTTAAATTACAAATACATAAAATATGATTATTAACAAATATAATAGGTTCAAATAAAATAAAAAAGTAAAGTTTGAATTTTTATAAAACTAATTTTTTTATCGAAATATTGAAATAATCATAATAATCAGCAACAGAAGAAAAACTTGTCTATTGTTTTAATACAATTTAAATAGATTATCAATTATCTAGCGATTATGTGGACATACATATTATCAATTATATAGCGATTATGTGAATATGTTAGTTTTATAAGTTAGATTTGTTCAGGTATTCAAAATACAACAACAACCTGCAATAAAACTTTAAAAAACTAATAACTAAGTTTTTAAAGTTATTTTAAATTAAGTTGTTTGGTTTCAATATAATGATTGATTTTATTACTACTGATTTTAAGATGCAGCGCTTATTAAAAGCATGTACTCTTAAAATAAGCTAGCCTATATAAAAATATATTTCTTATATTTAACCATGTAATGCTTAGGTTTAACCTGATTGATTTTAAATTTTAGCGCGACTATTATTCAATATTGTTCAATAAGCAATTTTTTCATTTTCGCTTGATTTATCTATTCTTTAACATTTTTGCTGTGGTTCGAAAAAGTTAATGTTGATAAATATGAAAAGCAAATAAAAAATATTATAATTTTATTTTTTATATAATACAATATATTATATAAAATAATTTGATGACTTCGAAAATTCTGTTAGGCGAATAAGCATTTTTCATTCATCGCAAGGCCTGATAGACACACACAATGATAAAAATACGAGGTAAATTGTTTACAATAAATTCATTATATATAATATTAAAGTAATTTATATGATGGTATTTATCATTATATAGATTATCTACTATAAATTATAATTATGCTGTACAGAGGCAATTCTACAAATAAAATGAGGGGGAAATACTAGTTTATACAAATAAAAAAGTTTTATAACTTTTTATTAAGTTTGATCAGTATTTTAAATTTATCACTTCTAAATTGTTATTAATGAAGTTAATAAAAAAACTCACTACAATGTTTTTTCAGAGTTTTCATCTAAGGAAGGATTACTGCTTTGGTGTCAAAGAAAAACTGCTCCTTACAAAAATGTTAATGTTCAAAATTTTCACATGAGGTGATTATTTCTTACTGTTTTAGAAATTTAGGTGTTTTCTGTAACATTTTTATCTATTTTATATTTGTATTCTTAATTTTAATCTATTTTATATTTGCATTAAATTTTGTAATTAATCATAAAATTAAATCTAGGTAACTCTAACATCAGTTAACTGGAACTTTTGTTATTTGAACAGTTTTCTTGGGTCCATTAAAAACAAGAACAATCTGCTTTCACTTACTTGGATTTAATTTTATTTATGATTTTTGCTCTAAAAATGTTATTGTATTTATTAGTTTTAAAGATGGTCTTGCCTTCTGTGCTCTTATTCACCGTCACCGACCTGATCTCATTGATTACAACAAGTTGTCTAAGGTATTTTAATTAATTCAAATTAATAAGCATACATGATAATATTTATCTAAAATCCTCATTCATTTTGATATTAAAACACTTTTTATTTTAAATGAAAATTATTAATTTAAATATGAAGTTAAAAAACCATACCAAGTAAAAAGCCATACAAAACAAAATCCTTTCTAAACAGTTTTTAAAATTGAAAATAAAAAAATTGTTTAAAATATGTTTTGTTGTCCGTATATTATTATTAGTACTATATTTATTAAAAATTTTGTTTTAAAACTGTTTTTTATTTTCTTTTGGAGTTTTTATTATCGTTATTATTACTATTATTGTTGTTGATATAATTATTATTGTTGTTGTTACAGCTCTAAGGCTCCCTTAGCATTTTAAAAAAAAAAGTCTAACTTATGTAACAAAAACTAAAAAACTATATAACATTCATAGTTTATATAGTATATATTATCCAAAGTTCAGTATGTGTTAAATATTTTTAGCTTATAAAAATATAACTTTTTTCTAGGACTTTTATTGAAAAGCATTTTTAGTATATTTTTTATAATATATTTTTTTATGTATCACACTTTTGTTTATACAAGTTCAATCTTTGAAACATATTAATCATATTAATTTTCTTAGGATGATCCAATGCACAATTTAAATTATGCTTTTGATGTTGCTGATAAATACCTTGATATCCCTCGTATGTTGGATGCTGAAGGTAAATCAACAATTATTTTTTTATTTTTCAAAAACTTTTTTAATTAAAAAAAATATATATTTTGCAAAATAATTAAATACTCTGAAATATTTAATTGTAAAAATTAAATATGTAAAAATAAAAATGAAAAGATCAATAACCTTAACGTCCTCTGAGGTTATTAAAGATTTCAAATATTATTTTTCATAGAAAAAGCTTTACAAAAAGTTGTATCTTAAGTTTAATAGTTTTCATCAGTTTATGTATCATAGCAAAATTTATTCATATTGAGTTTTAAAAAGTTATTATTACATATAATGCAGTAGTGGTTCAGAGGAAAGAAGTTTTGATGTTTTTTATGTAGTAATGTAGTGCTAAAGCACTTGGTTTTTTAGCAGAAAGTATATTATCAAATTGCTGAATTATTGTCTGGATTGAGCTATTGAAAAGTCCAATATGTTTTTTAAAAAAAATAACATATATTAACAAATTTGAATTTGAATATTTGCGGAATTTTGAAAATATTTTTCGCAACTCTTTCCACTTATTATATTAGTGCATCTTTCAGGTTGTTTTACTGCGTAGCCATCTTGTTTGTTAAGATTTATGTTTTGGAGATTTGTTGGTAGAGTGTTGATAACAATGAGTTTACAGGGTTCTAACAACATCAAAAAATAAATTATATATAACTAATAGATTATGTAATTTAAATTTTTAGACATGGTTAACCAAGTTAAACCAGATGAAAGAGCTGTTATGACTTATGTATCTTGCTACTATCATGCTTTTTCAAGTTCTCAACAGGTAACCAAACATTTTATAAATTACTATTAGATCGTTCAAAAAAAGTTTAAGATTACATCTAATTATTACAATTATTAGTTTCTGAGTATTAAATGAAAACATTGTTTTTGCAATTAGTAAAATTATGTTTCATTAATCTCTAAAACTTGCCTATGTTTTAAAGCAATCTTCTTGAATATAGAAAAATTATTTTTTTTTTTTATAAATTGTACTTTACTTTTATAGAACTATTTATAATAATGTCATTTACTCATTTTTTATTTTTGATAATTTACATAATTGATGCTATAGAAACAACCTTTTTATTTATATTTTCTTATTTTAAATTAATTTTTATTTTGATTAAAGTTTTTTATTTTGTTAATTTATAATATTATATGCCACATGTTTTTTAAATTTTAAAACTTAAATTGTTATAAATAATATTCATTAAATTACTTAATTATATATAATTGATTTATTAATATGTTAAAAATTAATTGATATTTTTATATATTATTTCTCTTTTATAGGCTGAAACAGCTGCAAAACGCATTGTTAAAGTATTAAATGTTAATCAAGGTAATGAAAAAGCAATGGATGATTATGAAAATATGGCATCTCAGTTACTTGATTGGATTAATAAAAAAATTCCTGAGCTTGAAGACCGAACTACTGATAATACTCTTAAAGATGTCCAGGTACTAACTAAATTAAAATTAACTAGTTAAATTATTTAAATGTTTTTTAGTACAAATGAAAAACAAAGATTGCCTGTTCCTGCCTCCAGATCTATGTAGGTCCCTCCCTTTTTTTTTACCATGTTACACAAAAATCTAAACAAAGTTTTTTTAATAGGGTAAAAAATTTAGTACAGAAGTTAGTACAGAACTTTATTTATTATTTAATCAAATTTTTTTCAAGTGGGTACACATTAAATGTATAACTTTATCATGGCTGGCAATGTATGTCAGTTATCTAAGTAAAAAAATAGTAATCAGATTTTAATTAAAAAAAAAAGTAATAAAAATAATTAATAAATTTAAAAAAATTCTTAAATGATGGTAATTTCAAAATGATGCGCAAGAGTTGTGAAAAAACTTAAGAGTGATCAATGATTAAATTAACGTCTTTATTTTAAAAAGGTTTCATAATTCAACTTTAACTTTAGTAATCTTTTAAAAGTTTTTTGACTGTGGTAAATGTCAATGAATAATTATTTTATTAAAAAAATTCTTAAGGAAGTATTAAAATATAAAGAAATTATACAATATCAGTTTGTTCCAGTTTTTTTGTTTTCCAACATTTGAAAAATAAAGAAAATAATATTATATAGTAGTTGATTTCTTTTTTCTATGATAATCTTGTTTTTCAAATTCTCAAGAATTCTATAATCTAACTGGCAATATTAAGCTATGCTAAATTGCATGGCAAAAAGTTTTTGGGATAGATGGTTTTTCCAAGTATGTCTATATTTCCAAATCTGTTTAAGGTTTTTCACTGCTCCTGTTTTCATTGACACCCAGCAAAGCAAAATTTAAATATAGTAAAATTTATATTTAGTTAGGTTTTTAGTAATGGATCATCCATAAATTACGTCACAGAATTTTTTCCCCTAGAGCGCAACAATTTGTGGAGGACCCCTAAAGTTTAAGTTTTTTTAAATGTTATGCTATTTTTTTTAATCTTAAAAACTTTTATATAGAATAAGCTGAATGACTTCAGAAATTACAGAGGCACTGAGAAACCACCAAAGGTTGAAGAGAAAGCAGGTTTAGAAAATTTGTTTAACACGTTACAGACTAAGTTACGATTAAGCAATCGCCCAGTTTATATGCCAACTGAAGGCAAAATGTTATCTGTAAGTTTTAATTCCTTTTTTTATATTTCACTTTCATAAGTACATATCTGTTTTTGAAAACAAGATTTAAAATTTAATATTTTTTTGCTTAGAATCAATTTTAGTGATAATTTTAAACTTAACCTTATAGTTAAATTTGTACGTATGCATGGTGTGCAATTTTGTATTGTGTAACTTTGTTTAATATGAAATTATAAAATTTATTTTAAATTAAAATAGTTAAAAAATTTTTGTAAAATGATGATATTTACTTTGTTAAAAGCCTTTAAACAAATGACAGGCATAAATAACATTTTTATCAATAACTATATATTTTTTAAATATACATATGGTATATATTTTTTGACAGGACATAGAAAAATCTTGGAAAGATTTGGAACAGGCTGAAAAAGATTTCCAAGATTGGATTCTTGCAGAACTTCGGAAGTAAATATTTAGCTCTTATTTACATGAGTTTTTAAACTATATTCATGTGTGAATATATATATATAAATGTAGATTTAGCTGTGCATGAAATGTCATTGGTGACTTAATACTGAATGGATTAAATACTGTATGGATTAAATTGGCATTTTAAAAATTGTGAGTGAAAAAAAGTGAGCAAGACAAAGTATTGTGCAATATTGTAAATATATGTGTGTATGTGTCTGTAAATATATGTTTGTAAATATATGTATGTGTCTGTAAATATATGTTTGTAAATATATGTGTGTATGTGTCTGTAAATATATGTTTGTAAATATATGTGTGTATGTGTCTGTAAAAATATATTTATTATGAACAAAAAATTATTTATGAAAATAGATTGTGTTTACAAATACCTTATCTGAAGAAATCTATCTATAAATTGTTTTTAATCTTTATTAAAAATAGTCCTTTAAAGCAAACAAAAAAATATTATATTTTGTATAATAAATATAATTTTTTTTTATAAGATTGTTTTAAGAATTAAATAGTAAGGAAATATAATCATTTTCAAATACCAAATTTAGAATTTATTGGTAATTTTTGTTATAATTATATTGTTAAAATGATTTTTAAAGTGGTTTAAAATTAAAATTTAATTACAAAGCTATACTTTAAAATATGCTAATGGTGCAATTAACTTTTAATGATATAAATATCAAAATTGAGTTGATGATGTAACATTTAAATAATATATAGATGTAACATTTAAATGTGCTAAGCGTTTTTGTTACACAACAATATCTTGTAATATCTTGTATATGTTACACAAAACTCTCATAAGATTTAAAAAACAAATATATATAAGTTTAGCATAAGTATAAAATTTTATATGTAAATAACAAACATGTTAAAATATTTAAATAGATATATAACAGCTTATAGTTACAGTTATAAACATTACAGCTTTTTTTTTTTTTTAAGAGGGTTGTAGCCACAAAATAAGAAGCCGAGGAGCCTTCTTATTTTGTGGCTACAACCCTCTCTCAACTCTATAACTCCGAAACACGAACCTTGACGAACAAGGCCGCTGCGCGGAGAAACAAGTTGAGCGCGGTACTACCAGGGACGTGGTGGGGATCAAACTCTGAATGCAAATAGCGCAACACTTAAAAAATCATATATATAGTTTTATTTACAATACACATGCACACATATGTTGAGGTGTGGATAAAGTACATATACACACATGTTAAGGTGTGGGTAGAGTAGACACATACACACATATGTTATGGTGTAGGTAGAATATCTAAATACAAAAAAAAACTTATTGTAGTAGGAAAAAATAGATTTTTTTTTTTTTCCTGTTTGTTGATTAATATTTTTCTAAAAATTATTAAAAATTAGTTTTTGGAAATATTTTTTTATTTGTTTACTTAAATAAGGTTGGAGCGACTAGATCATCTAGCTGCAAAATTTAAGCACAAGTGTGATATTCATGAAGCTTGGTCCCAAGGTCAAGATGTATATTTGACAACTGATGACATTACTGGTGCTCCTCTTGCATCTCTATTGGTTTGTTTTGAGTTTTATTCTGTATAGTTAACTTTTATAATTTGTAAAAAAACAATAGAGCCTAATAATAATAAAAATAATAATAACTAAAATAAAGTTAAATACTTTAATTTAATATTATTAACTATATAAATTAGTTATTATACAAAAATCTAATTTCTGATAAGTGTGGTAAATGTTATAAATTATTACATTAATCTTGAATGAGACTTAATAAATGATTTATTTTTTTTAAAGTTTTTTATTGTTTTGATTTTTTTTTTAATTAGGCTTTTTTATTTTGCTTAAATTTTATTAATTATATAATATTAATTATAATTGGGTTCATGAACCTCTGTTATGTTTGTTATTTTGTTAAAAATTTTAATGCAATTAAAAATTAAATTAACTTAAAAAATGACATTTGAAAAAGTTAAAATTGTTTTTAACTCTGACTGTAAAATTGTTTTTAATTCTCATGCTTTTCACTTAGCTAACAGTTTGTAGTCAAAAATATTGATTTTAAAAAAATGAAAAATGATTGTTTTTAAAATTATTAAGCATGAAAAATTTTGAATTGAGAATTGTTGTATGATATTTAAAAATAAAAATTAAAGTGATGGAAATGTTTAAACAAAATCAGAGCAACAAGTAAAATATTTTTTCTGACATAATTGTTTGATAAATATTTTTTAAGTAATAAAATATTTTTTTAGGCTTCTCGCAAACGTCATGAAGCATTTCAAGCTGATATATCTGCTCAACAAGATCGTGTGGAACAGATCGTAGCAATTGCTCAAGAATTATACACACTTGGCTACAGCAAAATTAATGAGGTTAATGAACGCTGTAGGATTATATGTGAAGAATGGGATAACCTTGGAGAATTAAATGAAAAACGTAACAAAAATTTGACAGCTGCTATTGAAATTGCTGAGTATCTTGATAATCTCTGGCTTGAATATGCAAAGAAGGCATCGCCATTTAGTAACTGGATGGATGGTGCTAAAGAAGATTTAATGGATATGTTTAATGTCCACTCTTTAGAAGAAATGCAAGATCTCAAAGATGCACAAGAAAAATTTAAAGCTAATATGCCAGCTGCAAAAGAAGAATTTGAGTTAATAATGAGTCTGGTTCGTGAAATTAACTCAATGAGTAATCAAAAAAATCCATATACTAACACAAGATCTGAGGTACCAATTAATTAATTATAAAATTTATGTGTATGTGTTTGTTTATACTAAAAAATGTGCTACACAAAGCTTTACTTATAGTGTCATATCGAAAATATAAATAGACAGAGATTAGGTTAGTCATAACGTATTTTGCAGACTTAAATTTTTAAAATATTGACTTATAATATGACATAATATAAATCCAATGAAATATGACTTGTTAAATCTAGAAAAAGAAGATAAAGAATAAAGATTTTTTTCTTTTCTTTTTTTTTTTTTTTTTTTTTTACAAATGTCCTTCTACCTGCAGTATAACATATACTGCAGAATAGTTAAATAAATAAGCAGAATATATTACTATATGGCTTATTCTTTTTGAATGTAACTTTAAAATATTTTATGGTGCTGTAAATTTTTCACTTTTGATTTGTTAAATATAACTAATCAAAAGTGTGATAACGAGTCTCATGATGACATAAATTGACTACAAAATAAATTTTTACTAGTCATCCATGGATATTGTTAAAAATACTAATATTTGTTACTAAAAAGTAATAAATTCTGTGCAGTCATATGATGTTGCAATAAGATCAACTTTGCTAAGTCAAAATGAATCATTAAGTAGTGGACATAATTGTGTTTTTATTTTATTTTTGAATAAAGAAAACACCATTACGGTTTTTTTGAGAACATGTGTGACTTCTTCATGAAAATAATTTATTTTGAGACCATGTGTTTGATTTCTATATGAAGTATATCAGAATTTACATAAACAATACTAAATAAAATTTTTTGTTCAGTGGTTTCACTAGTTCTTTATCTCATCCACATATAATAAACTGCTTTATTGTGATAAACTGTAACCAAAGTTAAAGTAAACTTTAACATTTAAATAAGAGTTATTGTACTTGAGTTCTGTTACTTAATTTTAAGCATATAAATTAGAACAAGAATATAATTTATGGCAAAATAATTATTATTTGTTTCTATATTTTAGGATTTAGAACAAAAGTGGAATGACGTTATTGAATTGATACCTAAAAGAGATAGTAAGTTATCTGCTGAAACAATTCGCCAACAGACTAATGAAAGACTTCGTGTGCAGTTTGCACAGATGGCAAATCAAGTTGGTGAATGGATCAAACAAAGAACAAGTAGAATGAGAGATATTGGAATGAATGCAAGAGGAAGTCTAGAAAGTCAGCTTAAAGAGCTAAACGCTCTTAATGATGAAATCAATGGCTTTAAAGAACATATTTTGGAGATTGATGCTTTGAATGCTGTATTTATTTTTCTTCTTTCATTTTTTGTTTAATATTTATTCAAGCAAGATTTTCATAAGATCTTAGCATTTTCTATTTTTGTATTTTATTTTGTATGTGCAAGTATTTTTTTCTTTTTTTAGTCAGTACAGGCTGCTATGATCTTTGAGAATCCTCACACATCATTAACAATGGAAATGATTCGCATTCGATTTGAACTTCTTCTTACTGGTATGACAAGAAACATTAATGAGGTTGAAAATCAGGTATAATTTTTTGCATTGTTTTTTTTTTTTAATTATTATTTTTAAATAGTTTTCTAAATATTTTCTCCATTAATTTAGATTTTGATGAGAGATTCTATTGGCATAAGTGAGGACCAATTGAAAGAATTGAAAAGTTCATTCAGTTTCTTTGACAAAAATAAAAATAACCAGTTAGATTATAAGGAATTTAGACAGTGCTTGGTCAGTCTTGGTCACAGTGTCGATGTTGAAGATAAGGTAATTGTTTTTTAATTTAGAACTCTTTAATAAAGAAAATTTTACTATTATTACTATTGTTATTACTATTATTGTTATTATTGTTATTATTATTATTTTTACTATTATTTTTAAGGGTGATGCTGAGTTTGCACGTATTATGGCTATGGTTGATCCCAATCAAACAGGATTTGTTACATTCCAAGCTTTCCTTGATTTTATGACTAGGGAAATGGCAGATACTGACAGTGCTGAACAAGTTATGGAGTCATTTAGAATTTTAGCGGGTGATAAAGTAAGTTTTTAAAATTAGATTGTTTTTCAACTATTCAAAATTAAAACTTTTTTTGTTTAAGCATTTACAAAATAATGCATATTTCAATTTATACACACCCACACACACATAAGGAAACACATACACACACACAAACACACACACACACTGCATAAATGTTTATTAAAAAGAAATATATGAATTTTTTTTTTTTAATAATACTAAAGTTTTGTTAAAAATATATTTATATTTTTTAAATATGTTTTTTAAAAATGATTGTTATTTTTAAAGTTTTTACATAATTTGCTTCATTTGAAACTCAGATTAACCTATTTTTAAAGAAAAGTTTTTTCTTTATAAATAGATTAATCTGGGTTTCAAATAAAGCAAATTATGTATTGCATACATACATATTTAAGGGTACACCCTTATATATGTTTGTATGCATGCATGTATTTGAATGTAGGTTTGCTTATGAAATAATTTGGTTATTATAAAAAAAAGCATTTCTCATGTTTTGTTTAGCTTAGCAAATTAAAATTTAACTTAAAAAAAATTTTCTTTGGAGATAAGTAAAACATCTGACCAACAATAAATTGAACCACCTTCTTTTCCAAAGTGAAATAATTCTGTTTATTCCAAAATAATATTGCACTGCAATTATTTGTAATAATTAAAAAGAAAAAAATCCTTTTATTTTTTACATATTTTTACATTCATAATTATATTTGAAAATCTGTGTGCATATATTGAAAAGTTGATTGACTTTTTCTTTAGCCTTACATTACTGCAGATGAACTACGCCGTGAGTTGCCTCCCCAACAAGCTGATTATTGTATTGCTCGAATGGCTGCATATACTGGCCCGGGATCAGTCCCAGGCGCTCTTGATTATAAATCTTTTTCTACTGCCTTATATGGTGAAAGCGATTTATAGATTGATTGACCAACCTAAATGGTAAAAGTGGATAATAGATTATGATAGGAATTTGTAAAAAAACAATTTTTTGTACTTTGGCCAATTTATTTGTGGTAAAATTGAAATGCCTTCTAAGGCGACTTTCTTGTCACAAATTTTCCATTATTTTTATATAGAATGAAAAAATTTGAATCGTGAATAAGTTAGTTAAATCTTTTTATGAATTTTCGACGATATACAAAGTCTTCTTTGTTGTTATTGTTGTTTTGTTTATTTTCATGTCTGTTTACCAAATCATGTCTTCGCTATTTATCTCAGTTGATATTTGACAAAATGTAAGAGTTTTGTATTGGTCGATTTCCATTTTTCAAGCTATTCTTAGTTTGTTTGTTTTTTTCGAACGTCCAAAATTAATTTATATAAAAAAGTTTATACATATTTAAAATACTTTTCTTATTCTTTTTTTTTTTTATATATATATATTTGTTAATATTAAATTTGTTTTAATCATAAGTAGGTTTTAAATGTCCTAAATATTTATAATGGGTATTAAATTTCAAGTTACTAATTATGATTATTACTTTTTTTTTTTTTGGTCGATTTTTGTTTTTTAAGAAAATGGTTTCGAGGAATAGCGCTGTAAATTAATGTTCATTTGATTGCTGTCTGTTGATGAGCGTTTGTTCTCCCATTAAAGGAAAAATAATATGAATTGCTTACTATTGGTCGACGTTAGTTTTAAATATCAGGAAGATTTTATTGTCTCCTTAATATTTTTCTAATAATCTGTTTTGGTGATTTTTTTTTTTTTCATGTTTACTTTTGAATTAGATAATGATACATTGTTGCGTTGCCGTTTGTAAAATTTTTTGTCGTTAACTGTAAATCTGTATCCTACATGAAAAACGCAGTGATTGCTAGTAAAATAAAGCGCGTAAATGTCTATTAATTTTTTTATATACAAATTTATAAAGACTTGTCACAAAGCTTGTCGTGGCTAAAGTCAATGAATGTTAGAGTTGAAAACGTTTGTTGTGAGCAACCTGCCTAAATTTTGAGGCTGTATTAAAGGTATTTTTTCATAACATTTTTAAGGCAATAATCTATAAGTCAATAATACATTACAGATCTCATCTCGCCGACTTATTGAAGATTTATGCATATAACTTGATATATTATTTATACACCGTGCTTTTATAAAAAATAGGCGCGTTAAAATTTTGTTTAAAGCATATTTAAACTACCATCAAATTGAAACTAAAGATATTGAATAAATTATATTTGTGAGAAATATTTTTTTTAAACAAAGTTTAAAAAAAATATTTCTCACAAATATATTACAGTTTTATGTTTTAGTATATAATCTTGGATTATATACTAAAACATAAAACTGTATACCGTCGTACGCCACGTGTTACGGTATACAGGGTTTCTTTGGCCATTTTTAAAAAGTTTAATTAAACATCTGTAACTTTTAAACAGTTAAGTAACGTTTTACTATTTAAAATAGCAATGTTTTACTATTTAAAATAATAAAATGTTACTTTACTGTTTAAAAGTTACAGATGTCTGATTAAAGTTTTTAAAAAATGGCCGAAGTACCCCGTGTTACGGTTTATAAACTTTATAGAACGTAATTACAAAATATATTGATAAAAAAGCTGCGATATATAAAGAATTAATGCAACAAAAATGACATTTAAACTACACCTTTTCAAGATGTAATTGAGAAAACAAAAATTGTAATTAAGAATCGTAAGATGTAATTGAGAAAACAAAAGTTGTAAATAAGAAACGTAAGATGTAATTGAGAAAACGTAAGTTGTAATTAAGAAACATAAGATGTAATTTAGAAAACGAAAATTGTAATTAAGAATCGTAACATGTAATTGAGAAAATTTAAGTTGTAATTAAGAAATAGAAAGATGTAATTGAGAACATGAAAATTTTAATTTAGATATCGCTTTAAAGGAGTAAGTGTAAAATAGCGCTTAAAAAAAATGGCGCGTAAAAAAATGAAGCGTATAAAATGACGCACTTAAAAATGACGCAAAATTTGTAGCGTAAATTTAATTTTTTAGGGAAAAATTTATAATTTTTGGGCAAATGAATTTAACATAATAAACACTAAAAACATTTTAGGGAAAAATTTATAATTCAGTTAAAAATTATAATTAAAAGTTATATAATTAAAAATCACTTCATTGATCATTTAAGCACCAACTTGTACGTCTTTCATATTTAAAATAGTTGCATAGTGCGTGGTTGTCTGTTGTACCGCACGTGCACAATCTCCTCCCATTATAGTATTTTTCGCCTCAATTACAATTCGTTCTAAGTACTGCATGCGCTGTTCCGCAATCCCGTCACCTAATACAGGTGGAATGCGAATTGCATTTTTAACGTTACTTTTAATTTTGGACCAGATCGTTTCCACTGGGTTCAACATTGGACTGTAAGGTCCCAAACGTAACAACTGAGCTGGTGAATTATCAAACACCCTTTGCAAACGAGCGTGACAAGGAGCATTATCTGTTACGACGACCAAATCCTCCAAACGATTCCCGGATATAACCCACTGGTGAAACATAGCCAACATCCACTCGTTACAGGAATCTGCTTTAAATGATCCCCTGCGAGTTTCTATCATGACGACATTTGTAGTTGAAATAGCTGCGATCAAGTGTATGTTTAAACCTTTTGAAGCAGGTACTTTCATAATTGCTCTTTTTTCTTGTCTCGCGCGTCCTTGCGTTTTTCTACAAAAAAGGTTAAAATTTGTTTCATCCAACCAAACTATCTGACGACCATTTGTGATATGTTCGTTGATGTTTCTAACATATTCAGCTCTTTTTTGTTTGTTTTCATAACTGTTCATTGTAGAAGGCTCCTTGTGCACTTTTTTTAATGAGAACAATCTGCCTTCGAGGTAATTTGCTATTGTTGTTTTGCTAACGTTTATGTTAAATTGTCTTAATATCTTTGTTTTGATGGCCATCAATGTTAATTGACAATCATTTTCAATCCATGTTAATGTTTCTTCGATTTGATCTTCGGTCAACTTTCTCGGTTTAAAACCTCCTTTTCCAATGAAATTTGAATTTCCGCTGCGAACCCAATTGTATGCTGTCTTATATTTGATACCTAGCATTTGCGCGAGATTCACCCAATCTTCAAATCGCTCCGCACATTCAACAGCTCTTCTCCTGTCATTTGGAGAAGATAAAACGTAACGTTTCCTTTCAACTTGTTCAGTTGTGTGTATTTCATGCCGACAAATCGGACAACTTGAATCTGGTTGTTCCAGAACTGGACGTAAACAAATTTGGTGACATAAATGTTGACACGGATTTAGCTTAATCACAGACTTTCGGGTCATAGTGTATTGGCATATAACACAACGATCTTTCAATTCAATTATTATTACTTATGCATACAAAAGCAAAATTTAGAATTATAACTTAAATTCATGTCCAAAAAGACCTTTTGTAACAACCTACAAACTTAGACTGTGAATTTGCTATTTTAATTTATGTGTTCTCAATTACAAGTTACGATTTCTCAATTACATATTATGATTTCTCAATTATATCTTACGTTTTCTCAATTACATGTTGTGTTTCTTAATTACATGTTACGACTTCTTATTTACATGTTGTGTTTCTCAATTACATTTAACGTTTTCTCAATTACATGTTGTGTTTCTTAATTACATATTACGACTTCTTAATTACAACTTTCATGTTCTCATTTACATCTGGAAAAGGTGTAGTAATAAAAATATCCCCTACGCTTATTTGCGAGCAACATCCTTTTTACACCGATTTAACCAGATTGTTGCAAACTTTGTTTGAAACTCTTTTCCGAAGGATCTTATTAGTATCATTCTAACATTACAAACCTAAAAACTTTCTGTATTTTCAAAACTCTTCGAACGTGTAGTTTATAATAGAATCTATGATTACTTTATTAAAAACAATTTTTTTTTATCCAAATCGGTTTTGCTTTCAAAAAGGAAATTATTTATGTTATATTAAAACAAAAAAGAATAGAAAAAAAAAAAAAAGAGAAGAATAAAAGTTCAACACACCTTATCAAAATTTCATTCTTTAAGATATTTCAATTGTTATTAAAATAAGTAAATCTATTATAAAAAATATTAATCAAATTTCAATACTGTGAAAAATAGTAACTAGTAGTGTATTTATTGCTTTTATGGAAAGGGGCGTTTCCTTCCACCCCAAACCTAAAAAATGATTTTATTGAGAATTTCACAAAAATCTTAAAATATTTTTTTAAACAGAGAGAAATTAGAATAAAAAACTATTTTATCACATTACAAGGGGCGTCTAAGAAATATAAATTGTAATCAATTTTTGTAATGGCTTTTAGTGAATGATTTAATTATTAAATTCCATTAATTAATAAAATTAAATCATTTTTAACAATATACACCACGTCAAGGAAGGCCAGAGCCGTCTATCAAAAAAATTTGCAAGCCACAAAACTTGCTGTACCATATTTTCAAGCCACAAAACTTGCGGTACTAATATGCAAGCCACAAAACTTGCTGTACTGTCACGGAGAAAACAGTCCGCCGGAGTAAACTGTCCGGCCGGACTGTTTACTCCGAAGTAGAATGTCCTACATTGGAGCATAGTCTTAAGAATTTTTCTTATGACTATGATTGGAGTAAATTGTCCTATTTAGCAAATAATTAGTTAAAGAATCGCGGCTGATTTTGTACCAATAATTGGTACAAAATCATATACCAATAACTACCAATAATTGGTACAAAATCAGCCGTGATTATTAGATTTTATATTTGTTATATATTTAGCTATAATTAATATTGTTCGATTAAAAATAAATTATTATTATAAAATATCAAAAATCATTTTAAAAATGGATGAACAGAAAAGTAATTATGAAGAAATGATGCTTGCTGATGTTAGTAACTATTTATCTAAATCTGTTTATCGTCATGACTGCACCCTAAATGATAAGCGGACAATTAGACGAAAAGCAAAAAGGTAAAGATTGTAAAAGTTAAGATGCTATGTTTGTAGTATTACTAGTACATAGTTATAATTTCTAACTATGTTACTATGTAACTAGTAACTCACTATTTTTAAAATAGTGATTTACTAGTAGCTCAACTAGTCTAGTTAGTCTAGAGTTACTAGTGAGTCACTATTTTACTCACATTAAATGTGAGTAAAATAATTTTACTCGCATTTAATGTGAGTAAAATGGTG